TTTGTTGTCCTATAAAATAAAGGCAAAAAAAAAATGTTTGTACAAAAAGAAGGTCTGATTCTGGCTCCATGCATCAAGATAAATTTGGGGCCTCAGAGGTGGTTTATAGTCTTGTGTGTGATAGAACACAATAATCATGAAAGTGCCTAAGGCTTCTTTGTGGTATTGTATAATCAGTATCAATGTTAGATTTAACCTCACCTTATTTGTCCCATGTTCACTTTCAGGTCCAGTATATCATCTCACAGGATGGAGTTCAACACTTACTTCCTCAAGAGTATGTAGTAGTAGCTGATGGCAACCACATACAGGTAAGTGTTTAACTGCCTAAACGGTGCATATATATGCAGGATTTAATAGTGAGGATATCTGTCTCATTTGTAACTGGTTCTGTGACTGGCCCTCAGATGCCAGACGGACAGATAATCCAGTACGAACATGACAGAACCATTGTCCAGGAGCAACAGGTGAGACAGGTCTAAGATCTAAAACATGCTGAAAGGACCTCTGTGTAGGATGGAGTGGGAGCTGTTTGGAGAAATCCAATAAAGTATTCACAATCTTGTTCTCAGTGTGTAATCATCTGTACATCCAAATTTAGAAGCTTTTGTATTTTTAAATTGAAGTGATGGGAACCAGTATCTAACTGGTTACATTGAGCAACTTCACAACTAGTGCAACTGAATCATACACAATCATATACATGGAATTGTCTATAAAGTTAAGTCAAACTTTATAGACAAATGAAATGTCATTATGTCCAAACATAACTCAAATTTAAAAACAAATATAAAAGAGATTATTTAGTCATTTTGGTTTGTGAGCTCAAACTGTTTGTGTATTGTATATGAGTGTAAACTTGTATATAGTTAAACATGTATATTATCTGATTACATGCCAAACTCTGAACATTGATTTGCAAATTGGGCGGGAACAAATAAGTGTAAACTTCATCCTACTCCTTTTCAAGCATAATAATTGTGTGGGATTCAGAGATATTCATGACAACTTGATGTCTTTATCTTGGTTTTTTTTGTGTGTGTTTACAAAGTTTTTGTTCTTGTAACTCAGTTATTTTCACGTTTGAAATAAACTCTATTCTGTTCTATTTGTAGATTGCTGTAAGTCACGATGGTCAGATCCAGTACCTACCTGTCAGCTCTGATCAACAAATCGTGAATGCTGAAGATCTGGAGGCTGCTGCCCACTCTGCTGTCACAGGTTGGCTCTTATGAGAGTGCTCAGTTGATGTTCAGTTCCAAGTTTTTGGATTTTATGAATTTCTTATAATTTTGTCCCAAATATATGATAAGGTTTCTTCAGGAAAGCCAGTAAGTAATTCCTTAAATGCAGACATTTTTGAAAGTGATAAACAAACATCATCAGTAGGTTTAAAACTTGCCAAAATATAATTTATTTCTAATATTAGCTTCAGTATAAATAAAGCTGAAAAGTATGAACTCTGATCTTTGTTCCTGCAGCCGTAGCAGACGCAGCCATGACACAGACCCAGACAGTCTACACTGAGGCTACACCTGAGCAACTGGAAGAGCTGCAGCAACAGGGCATCCACTATGATGTCATTACTTTCTCCAATGAATAGAGATACAAGTGCACCAAGAGGAGGACCAATACAAACCACTATGAGCTAACAGAACAGTGACCTCAACTTATTTATGCATCTAGCTGGCAGTGAAGTGAAAAAAGGCCTTATCTCCTGCCCAGCATCACCTGCTCGGAGCGGCTGCATCAGTCAAGATCAACAGCTTCTTGTAAATTTCAATTATTGTACGCAGTGCTTCTAATTTATTCATAGGTACTGGAACGTTGGGCTCTTCTCTAATTATTCAAACCGAATTGTGTACATGTGCCCCAACAGCTCCCATTTGCAAGACAATGTTATTAAAAATGATAAAATGGCTTATTTCATGTTATTGAAACTGTCCTAATGAACATTTTAGTTTTTGAATGGAATGAAATGAAAAGGCACGCTTTATTTTTGATGTGTAATCAGATAAGTTAATTAATAAAATGCCACAATATTGTTTTTACATAATATTATGTACATACATTTCGCATGTGTCTTCTGTTGTGCAAAGGAAGACATGTTTTGATTTGATGAGTATAAAGTGTTTAATATGTTCAAAGCTGACACCAAATAAATCACTTTATACATGTATGTAATCCTTAATGTGTCTGCTCGGAATTATTTCATCTTGTCCGTATCTGCTTTAACATATCCCATCTATATAAATGCAATCGTTGGCCACTCTATTAGGTACACCTTGCTAGTACAGGGTTGGATCCCTTTGCTGATTTTATTCTTCATAGCATGGATTCAACAAGGTGCTGGATAAATTTGAGATTTTCTCCTTGTTGACAGGATCGCATCGCATGGTTGTTGCACATCTGTGATGTAAATCTGTTCCATGACATTCCAAAGGTGCTCTATTGGACTGGGATCTGGTGACTGTAGAGGTCATCTGAGTGCAGTGAGCATGTTGTTATGTTCAAGAACCTTGGGCATGATTTGAGCTTTGTGACAAGTTATGTAGCTTCGTGCTGAGTGTATGTAATATGTTGTATAACAATGCTAACTTATCACATTGGACATATCTATATTGAAAACGCGTCCTGTAGCTTAATACTGGCCCCATCCTTGAACTGCATGAAAATCATATGTTTACACATTGATTTAAATTTCTGGATATTTGGACATTGTTCGTCCTTAGCCGCTAATCCACTCCACAATTTAACCCCGCACACAGACACAAACTTTTCCTATCGGTTAATTTTGGAGTTGCTACAAAGTTTGTAGCAACTCCAAAATTAACCGATGAAAATAGTACATAGGTTAAAGTACCACATGATGTACTGTCAGTGAAAGCTGCACTTGTTTTATTGATAAAGTTAAAGAAAAAAGTCAAAGGCATTAATCATCCATGTAACTGTGTCACTATAAAACACTTTAAAACAGGCTTTAAACATGAGCTTTTCAAGAATTTGCGTCACTTAAAGCACATTATGTCAGTTTGTTTAAGAAGCAGGGTTGCAGCCATTTCATTATGATGTCACTCTCAAAGATCACAGAGCAGATCACATAGCATTTGTAGAATCAAGAGATCTGGTACAAAGACGTGCATGTGGTGTCTTATTGCACCCCAAAATGATATGTGGCGGGATCTTTTAGTGGTTTTTGTACAGCGGATCAGTTAATTTGTGCGTGCATACCACCCCAAATGTACCTTGCATTCAAGAAAGACCTCAACTGTTACTGGAACATATGGCTCAGCTAAAATGCAGGTCCAGGTTTACAGGCCAGCTGTATTTCTGCTACATGCACATGGAATTGACACTTCATTGCATATACATTTGCCTCCCGTTCCTTTTGTTGTTTTAGGTTAATACTTTAAAAGGCGATTTTAAAAAATTAAATAACGTGAGAGTTATGTCAGGTGGCATTGTATGTGTGTGAAAGCTGTACATTTCTCCTCAAATCAATGTTTTGATTCAGTGTGTCAACCCATGTGGTACTTTAAATTACACAAATGAAAGTTTAGAGTGCTGCAGTCTAGTAGGTATTGACTCAAGCAAGATTTAAAAAGCATTACAAGTTGATCATGACCCTAATTCAGAAAGCATTAATTTTTTCCTGCAAAAGAACACAACCTCCAGGCTTTTTCAGCATTGTCAGTTTGTGCAAAGAATCATTTTCCACTACATGTACAACAGGTGAAAAACAAATTAAAATAAACACATTAAACCTCCCAAGTGTTTTTTGTTTAATTGCTATTATTTTTCATTTCCTAAAGATTAATTGAAAGGTCCATGGAGTTTGGAGGGTGAGGACCCAGGAAACCGCAACAAGGACGAGAGGGACAGAAAATGGCAAGTCGCAAAGGAGGCCTTGGAGACCATGATGAAAATGTCCACCTCACTCAGGCTTTTTGCTTTAGACTTTCCATTCTGGACCAATCTATGTGCAGAAATGTGCCTAAAACCCTGAAAACTGTTAAACTTACCACAGATATTCACTTAGTGTCTATAATAACAACATTTAATAGTTTCATGAATTGTGTTCATCTCATACCCAAACCACCTTTATCAAATTCTACTCTAAATTCTGCTCTAATACAATACCAGTACTCATGACCAGAGTGCACAAATGCAACATTGTTTTTTCATACTTGACAACACAATAAAACACAAGAAAAATCAGAATATGTTTGAGATTAGGATTTTTATTTGATGGTAAATCAATTTTCTTAAAATTTCATTTTGTTTTACTTTGATGCTATAATGGATGATTTTAAAATTCAGTTAAATCTAAGATTATATAGCATCGCAGCAAAACAAGAGTCTCCTCAAGGTGCTTTATAATGTAAGGTGAAAACCCTACAGTATTAGCAGGAAAATACCCAACAATCAAAAGATCCCCTTTGAGCAAGCACTAGGCGACAGTGGGGAGAAAAAACTCCCTTTTAACAGGAAGAAACCTCCAGCAGAACCAGGCTCAAGAGGGGGCGGCCATCTGCTGCGACCGGTTGGGGGTGATGGAGAGACAATATAGGGAGACAAGATGAAATATACTTCTGTTGGCCAATTACATTGTTTTTGAATAAATTATTAAATGCTTCGAGATCTTTAAAGAAGCATTGTAGTGTGTGTGTGTGTGTGTGTGTGGGGGGGGGGGGGGGATTAGATTAACCGCACGCATGCGGTTAGTTTATATATGGGTGTTGTGCATTTTAAGAGAGTAAATAACGAGGCTAAATGTCCTTTCGCTTCCAGATACTGTATTTTACACCAACACGATGTGTATGTAAGAATTTATTAGCGGTTTAAGTCCGGAAGCCTGTGCGTGGGAGTTCAAAACACAGACAGTGCGCATGCGTGTGACGTGAAGTAGCGAACGCTTTGATCGCCTGACTGTGACGTAAGCGAACGCTTTGACGTGCCCGTGACGTTACAGTCAACTGAGCCTATATATAGACCCCGCCAGGACTCACAATCTACTTAGCGTTAAGTAAATGAGATGTACAGACCGCGATCTTCGCACTCTAGAATCTTAGATTTTCAAAGTCCTTCAAATAATTTTACTGAAACAGAAACGTCCACAATGGCTGAATTTCAGACTACAGGCTCTATCCCCATTATTCCCGAGCATATTTTACCAGCTATAACCAAGTGTTTCGATCAGTTCTCCCAGGTACAATGGGGAATGATTGAACAGGGAATCTGGGACTCTGATCTCCAAGCATTACTGGCTGATATGATAATCGAAATCATTCAGATAGTTTCTACCAGCATCCTGAAACCTGCACTTCCCACACTTCAGGAGTTAATGACAGACGAATTGTCCCAAACAGATATCAGCATACCTGTGGCAAAAATAGCTCCGTCGCTGGGAGACTCTCTTTCAACCAGCATTGGCATCGCTCTTAACATCCCCCATGAAAACTGTCAGTCCAGTAAGAAGCTGACAAAACTGATTGAATTGGAGATCTCAGAAAAGGTCGACTCAGCTGTGACTCTACTCTTGAACAACCCGGATTTACGGTCAGATCCTGCCGTTTATGTCAGTGGAAAAATGACAACCACAAAAAACCTTCGACGCATGGTCTCTCACGCTGCCTCGTGTTTGGAAAAATGTGCAGGTAAGCTAAGCAGCCAGTGCATGTCAAAGGGCGGCGCAGCTAGTTCCCCTAGCCCGTCTAATTCAGAGAGTACTGAATCAAAGATCTCTGAGAAGGCAATGGTTGTTGAGGAGGTGAGCAGCGCTCTCACCAAATGGAGCACAGACACAGGAATCACAGAGGACAATAAGGATGAAAATGACATGACGCCTGTAGAGATAAAAGAAAGTGAAACTGGAGAGATGGCGGAAAGTTGTTCCAGCACCACAGGTGAAGTGATCGTGGCTGATGTTGTCAGTGCAATACTTGACACTCTGAAGTATTCGAATGCCGAAGATGACACAGAAATAGAGAAGTGCACAGATGCTGAGACAGCTGAAAGTCTCCAGCGTCCCAGCACGCCAGCAGAAATAGCTGCAGCTGACATTGTAATGACAATAATTGATAATCTGCAGTCTTTTGATGGTGAAGATGTCACATCTAGTGAGAAATGTGACTCACGCGAATCTGCTTTTAATGTGCAGTTAAATATCCAAAAGGTGAAAAACTTTTTCACGTCATGCATCCCATCCAGAAAAAGCAATGACCAAAAGTTGCACAAAGACCACTTCTGTGCTTTTGCCAAAAAGCAGTTTTACAAAATGATCAGAGAGATAAAACACCTGGTGAAGAAAAACAAAAGGTTCTTCATCTGTCTCCACGAACCGGTCAAGTCTCTTGATGATCAGAGAGCAGATTGTATGGACAGCTACAGTTCTTTTTGTAGCTATGTAAACACACCAGTGATGGATAGCATGTTTAAGAATTCTTCCCCAGTTGATTATAACACCATCAAACCTATTCTTGAACAAATGTTTAATAAATTAAACGGGCCAGAACATTTGAACCGTATCTGGAACCCCCTGGAAAAGATAAAGGAAATTGAGATGTTTTCCAGGGAGTTGACAGATAAAGTGTATGACCATCTCCAGTCAACTGAAAGATATGTACTCCCTGTGATGCTATCAGGAAAATGTCTTTCAGACTCTGT